ATATATATATAGGTTGGAAAATCTGGTCTTAATGTGGAAAATCTGGTCTTAATGTTGCTGTCAGATCTATAAACATCCACATGTTACATTTGAAACAACTGCAGCGGGTCAGATCTGGACCAGGATCCATGTGTGGAGTGCTCTGGACCACGGGACTACAGGACAAACTGGTTAGAACCATGGCAGCCATGATCTCGTCCATCTCCACAGATTCTGGGCTCCTGAAGCTGGGATCGACATGAAGAAACATCTTTAGTGCTTATTCAAACAGAGATCACAGTAACAGCGAGCAGCACAGCATCCCTCACCTGCACAGAGCCTCTCTGGAGGTCGGCACGTTGCTGAGGTGTGCCGCAGCCTCAGCATGCTGCAGAGGAGCAGACAGGTCAGGCCAGGCAGACATCTTGCTCCGGTGGTGGCCCCTCTGTGTGTATGGAGGGAACACAGTCAGTACTTACAGTAATTTAAAGCCTAAACCTCCACAGACTGCTGCTGCAACTATTTGCATTTGGTTATTTGCAAACAGTCAAAATTCAGCTCTTATTTCTCCAAAAGGAAGATTTTTTAAAAGAACTTATCAACAAGTAAAACATTAAATATTAATAATTATTCACACAAACTCAACCAATCAGTCTACATGTGTTTTGTGGATTTGGAGAAGGCGTTCGACTGTGTCCCTCGGGGACCCTTGTAGGGGGTACTCYGGGAGTATGGGGTACCAGGCCCATTGATACGGGCTGCTAGGTCCCTGTATTACCGGCAGTAAGTCTGACTCGTTTACGGTGAGAGTTGGACTTCGCCAAGGTTGCCCTTCGTCACCAATTCTGTTCATAACTTTTATGGACAGAATTTCTAGGAGCAGCCAAGGTGTTGAGGGGATCCTTTTTGGTGACCTTAGGATCACGTCTCTGCTTTGTGTGGATGATGTGGTCCTATTGGCCTCATCAGATCCTGATCTCCAGCTCTCACTGGAGCGGTTCACAGCCGAGTGTGAAGCGGCCGGGATGAGGATCAGTGCCTCCAAATCCGAGACCATGGTCTTTCTTGAGACGGAAAAAGGTAGCGTGCCGCCTCCGGGTAGGGGAGGAGGTCCTGCCCCAAGTGGAGGAGTTTAAGTATCTCAGGGTCTTGTTCACGAAGGAGGGAAGAATGAAACGGGAGATCAACAGGCGGACTGGTGCTGCGTCTGCAGTGATTCTCGAAGTCGGCGTGATGTCATTCAGGCACGTGATTTCAACCACCATTTTTTTAATGGGGGAAAACTGCAGCTGAAGGGAGCAGGAAACAAGGTAATCTCGTGGAAAAAAACACCGCTGTCCATCGTCAGCCTCAACTTTCTCTTAAACCAAAAAATGGTGGTTGAAATCACGTGCCTGAATGACATCACGCCGACTTCGAGAATCACTGCA